TAAAAGTATATTCATATAGGATGGGAGGTAAGTATCCTTAATTAAATCCTTTCTTTTACAAAAAAATAAATGAAATAAATTTTAAGTGCTCATTATAAATATTTTCAAAGAGAATTTTTGTGCTTTTTAAAATTTCTAAATAACATTCGGTAACAATATTGATCATTCCTGATCAAAATGTACTAGAATTAAATATGAATATTTTAAATAATTAATAAAAAAATATGAATTATTTAACTAAGCTGATGATTCCAAACAACAGAGATGCAGTTAGCCAGGTCACACAAGTATAGTTAGTGATAAACTCTATAAGTAGTAATTATATCCTGATGTGCAAAAATAAAATACGTATTGTAAATATATATTATACCAAATAATTAACTTTATTATTATCACTGTTTATTGCACACAATCGTTGGGATATAGATTTACCTATAGTTCTGTTAAAATTTTAATAAGAGATTTATAATGAAAATTAAATTTAAAACTAAAATATAACTTAAGTGATGACGGTAATCAGGAATAGACATCGCACTAAACCGTATAATAACATAAAATAAAATAAGAACTCAAGTGAAGTTAATCAATGCACAACTTTTTCTTTCAAAAAAAAAAAAATTGCATATGAAAATAATTCATATGACTTATCATAGTAAAATGTGACTGACATAGGAGAAATTTTGGGGGAAAAATAAAAAAAATACTGCAAAGGGAACATACCCTATGAGAGAATAATAATTAATATTCAAATATGTATATATCTTAAATAAATATCATAATCTAATTCTTAACAATTTGAAACTTCAATGATGTCTTCGGTGTGGACACACAACGGGTGACTTCCATTAATAATTAATTACAATTATTGTAATGATGATTAAATCCGGCGGCGTAACGTATAACCATGTGACTCGAAAAAAAACTCGCTGACAGCTACGAAGCCACTCGAACCACCACCACAAAAAATAATACATACAAATACACAAAGAGGACCGTACGGGTACAAACTTCTATCTAAAAACAAAGGCGAGGCAAATAACATATCCTATGGACTAAAATCGTGCACTTATGTCATGAGCTGGTAATGAATATTTAATAAGGCAATATATATTTATAATATAACGGCGTGAAAATGAAAATTCAATAAAATAAATAAAATTAGTACAATTATTGTAACTACGGTAAGGCAATAAAACATTTCTCCAGGGCGCGTAACTAATGTCTTGGCATCATATTAATACCCCCCAAATCATAAGTCAAATAACGTATTGCAGTAACTTATTTTACGTTAAATGAAAAGGTTTATTGTGAGAAAAAGTATGTAAAGACATTTGTATCTTATCCTGTCACAGGATCGCAAATCTTTGTTTTTTGTCGGCCTGCAACATCAACATGGTTTGTTACTTACATAACGACTTGCTGTAGTAGCAAGGGTTACCATCTAGGTGAGATGTCATACCTATCAAATATGATTACCGGACGATAGGTAGAATTTAATTTTAAGTTAATTAATAGTCTAATTTAAGTTAATATGTCGTTATATGTATAAATGATTATGACACGTCGTGGTTTATTAACCACAACTATGATAATTGGAAGTTGTACGTGGTTGATATGTAAAACATACCGAAGCCCGTGTCTAGATTAAGGAACAGGGATAAAATACACGCGAGTACTTAAGCGCAATGAAATAAATATTACAGTTAAAATTAATAAGGAAATTTAATTTAATTGTTAAAAAAGAAAATTAAGTTAAACATGAACAAAAATACAAATGTATTAAAAATCATGTCCACAAAGAAAGGCAACAAAAATAAAATCAAATATTTAAACAAAATCAAATAATATGAAAAACAGCACAAATGTTATTAGAAAACATCCGTTAATGTTAATCGGAAATTAATGAAAAACACCAGGAGCAGTCTGGACACTGGATCCTTAGCGTTGGCCAGAAGAAAACACGAACTCACCACACATAAATAAAATTAAGATATTTTATAATAAAATAACTAATAAATAATATATAGCTCACAATTATAATTATAACAAAGAAAACAATACCCGGTCTCCGAAGAGAGTCTGGAAGCTTCGCCGAAAAGACCTGGCCGTTGGCGGCTCTACTCAATCATTGAAAAAATAGTGACAAGAAAATAAAAAACATGTGCACTCTAGCGCGGTCAATGACAGAATCAAGATGAAGAGCCAACGCCGATCTAACGGCAATTTCAAAACGATTTTTACGTCAGTCTTTTTAGAATATTCCGACAAACAATTCGATTTTTATTATATTTATTCCGTTTTGTCGCCCTATCTAGCGGTCTGCGGCATTAATAATGAGTTGTTGACACCGCTGTGTCAGAAAAAGGTTCATTCGTACAATCTCTTGTGCGATAAAAAATAAATAAATAGACATAACAAAATTTATAAACGGTCCACTTTCAAATTCGTGACATTACANCATAACAAAATTTATAAACGGTCCACTTTCAAATTCGTGACATTACAGTATCTTCAACCAGATACGATTTGTGATGTATCGTAAGCTAAACATTTAAGCTCAAGTAAACTTAAAATTTCTTTTAATTTTTCTTTTTTTTTTTGCAGTTTGGCTGATATTTATGTATATTATAAGTAGAAAAAAACCCTTCACTAATCTTAAAAACTTATACCTTTTTCTATAATTAATGCATAAGCTAAAATGTACTATATTCTTGAAAATATGAATAAATGACGATAGTATTGAATAACAATGGCCGTTTTTTGTTTTTTGGGATATTTTTAGTCAAAATACTAAAAACACGTTGCGCCTAAAGAAAATTTTTTTTTTAAAAATCTGAAATTTTCACAAAATGTCTATTTTAATGTATAATAAAGTTAAAATGGTTCTGATTAAAATTTCGAAGATGGAATTTTTTTGATCCACCCTAATATATATATAATGGTAAAAGTAATACCTTATTCTTCGCATCGAAACTAAACATGAAAATTTAAATTTACATACAGTTACTAATATAATACAATTAAATCATATTCTTTATTAATTATAGTTTAAATTATTAAACACACTATATATATATAAACATAAGTTGTTAAATCATTTTTTTATGTAACATATATTAGTATATATCGTATATTAGTAGTTGATATTGACAATTTGCCCTTCTACAGATCAAAATCTATATGCCATTATTTAGTTGTCAATTGATCATCACTGATCAATTTTAATAATTCAATGATGGGAAATAAAATAAATAAAAACTAGATGAATACCCGTCCATCAAGGTCAGAACAGTGGTAGTTTACTTAATTAGACAAAGAACGCGCAGTAAGGCACTGGACTTGTAAGAAACAATACCACGAAAAATAACACCAGAGTAACGAATTGAAAGGAATTAGCTTGACGCTGTATGAACACGACGATGATTTTGATAAGTGCTGTACATCTATATGTGTTTTGCCTATTCATTTCACGTATATTGGGTACACCACTAAATCAAAATAAAACACAGTCATTGGACATTCAAGTCAAGAGTACTCCATCAATAATTAAGTCAATAAATGATAAAATTTCATCCATACAACCGGCAGATCTGTTTTATCGAACATTCTCCAACT